CAGCCTGGCACGTTTGGACGCTGTCACATATGACGGCAATGTCCTCCGCAGTCCCCAAGTCAAGAAGTCGTTCACAAGAAAGTAGCTCTACAACTTCTAGGTCGTGACCAGCGAACGTTGTTCACATGACTTCATCAATAGCGAAGCTAAAGAGGAAAGGTGATAGTGGGCAACCTTGTCTCACACCGCTGGGGATATTGAAGGGCGGCGACAGTTTATCATAAACCCTCACTCGGCCCAAACTATGCGCATACAGCGCATTTATAACCTTTACATATTTATCAGGCGCACCTTTTCTCAGCAAATAGTCCCAAATTGCACATCGATCCACCGAATCGACCGCACCTTTGATGTCGATAAACACGAGAAGGGGGTCGTCGATAAACATGGCGGCGCTCCAACAACGGACGCAAAGTGAAGAGGTGATCGGTGCAGCCTCGATTTCGACGAAACCCGGCTTGCTCTTCGCGGATCTGGACTTCACGAGCGCCAGTCAGTCTGTGGAGAAGGACAGAGGCAAGCAATTTAGAGGCAATTGAGATAAGAATGATCTCTCGATGATTGCGCATTACGAACGGGAGCGTCCCTTGAAAATTGGGACTTTGACGGAGAGGCTCTAGTCCGTCGGGACAGTTTCCTGCTTCCAAAGTTCCACCAGCAACTCGTGTAGATGATCTACAAGAGTAGGTCCCCAAAATCTGTAGAGATCTGGGGGAATGCTATCTGCACCAGCGGTCTTATGCAATTTCAATAGTCTGATCTCATGTTCAACTTCTGCGCGTGAGGGCGGATCTAATGAGACGGCCCATGGAGAAGGGCACTCGATTCCCGAAAGAGAAAGTGATAAGTCAGATTGGTTAAACTGCTTTGCAAAGTATTCGGGCCACCGCTCTAAGCGTTTTGACAAGCTGTGGATCGGCTTCCCACTCTCGTCGCGTATCGTCTCGTTAACATCATATCTCCTGCTGCCTATCTTCCGTATTAAACGGAATACCTTACGATAATTACCAACGGCAGTGGCTGTTTCTATTTCCGATGCACGCTGAGACCACCAGGCTTCGCGGTCTCTCTCTTCAGGCTAGCATGCAGTTTTGCCCTGAGATATTTAAGGGTCTCATTGTATTCGCTTCCAGCCGGAAACCGTCGGCGAGCATCCATAAGTTCTAGAGACTTTGTAGAGACCCATTGTCTATGTTGCCGATTTCATTTTCCACATGAAGACATGCCAGCTGATTAATATGCGACCAGTGAACTTCAACGATGATTAGTGGACGCTTACTCAGCCCGGATGCCAGCGTAGTTTGATAAGCATTCAGAACACCTGGCTTCGATAGGTGGTTGGTAGCAATGCGCTCAGAGCGATGTTGCGAACGTCCACCGAAACGCACCCACAGATCAGCACAATCAGGAGAGTGATCGGAGTTCACGCTGGTGCACAAAATCGAGCGATAGTTTTGGACACAGCCTCTCCAGCGGTAACAGATCGTGATCCGATCTATTTGCGTCCATGGTTGGCCCGAGGCTGGTGGGTGTCAGGTCACTCTTCAGAGGATGTTATATCGAAAGTTAATGCACGCGAAAAAGAGACTAGCCCCCTTCACACAGGTGTAGCAACCGCTCACCGTTATCATTACGGGAGCCTACACCATGTTGGCCTCCCAGATGAAGCTCATCAGAGGATAATTTTCCGACTTGCGCATTTAGATCATCAGCAAGCACCACAGTATCCGTGATTCTTCTGTAACGAAGATCGCTAAGTTGTGACAGAATTCATCTTTCATCGAATCAGGGCTGCATTTTGTGGGGGCGTAAGATGCAATGACATACAGGCACCGTTTGTTCCTGTGCGACTTCGAAGCCTGGAACGATGCAACCAACGTAACGGCGCTATTGATAGGGATCCAGTCGATCAGGGCAGCCTCAGTCCGGGGACTCAAAACAATGCTGACGCCAGCTTGACCTGCATTTGAAGCTGCGTCGTCGCCAGACAGGCGCAATGAGAATGTGCCGCTAGTGTCGCAGGTGTGGGATTTGGAAAACTGTCACCAAGGTTGCGTGCTATCAAATTTCTTATTTAACTTCGCCATTGACGAAGTCGGAAATGGCATTCACGGGACACCATTTAGAAGGTGTGAAGTTGCTTCCAGGTGACCAACTTGACTTGGTGTATGCCGGCCACTTTGCCATAATCGGCGACGGCTCCCAGATGTGCCAAGCTGTACTGGGCAAATTAACTCTAGTTGTCAGTCGTTTTGAGCTACGACTTGTACCCTCGAAATGCAAAGTCCGTCTTCAAGATTGGCAGGGACCTACCGCTGCGCTGACCTTTGGTGGGGATCAGGTATATCAACCCTGGTGGCGCCGGCACGTCAGTAAGCAAGCTCTGAAGGGCAGGGTTTATAACGCAGCCGTGCGTTGAAAAACCTGGGCTGTCAAGTCGACAGATCTAAAGATGCTTGTTTCCTTCGATCGGCGAAGTCTTCGCAGTTTGATCCAGTTTTGGTGAGAACACCGCATGAGCAATGAGCGTGTTTGGCGTCGCATATTTGGTGCAGGAAGAGCAAGTGAACGACTCAGCAGCGTTATTTCACGCAAAAAACGCGGATGCCCGCGTCACGTGTTGCGCATGCCAGCCCCTCGACTCTCACATTATGCATTGTTTGCGCGACCGGGATCTGGATGGGGGAAGAAGAGGACAAGCAACAGCTTGGTCAAAAGAAATGAAGCCCTTCACTTCGAAGTTTGCGTCGGTTGGTGTTTCTCTACTGACTGACTTAGAACTGAATGAGAACGAACACGTTTGTTTGGATACACCAGCTAACATGGCGAAGTATCGGTCTCAGTGGCATTTGTGTTTTGATTTGCTTTGTCCCTCCTCTTGCCGCTTATCTTTACCTTTTAACAACGATCGCAAAAAGCAAGGATAATAAGGCACTTGGCATTATATTACCTGCTTTTTAGCTTTTTCCATATTCTTTAGTATTTACGATCTCGCACCTTATATATCTTATCATTTGCATTACGGCACAGATAGCTGATGTGTAATGACGGTGTTGATGATCATGTAACCATGTCAAATGTGTAACGTGCTTACAACCAAAATACTCACTTATGTGAGCCACCCACTCCACAGGGAATTGTAAGAGTGTGTATCAAGCTTCTCGACCAGACAGAACTAGAAATCTACATAGGGGCGCATAAAGGCTGCTAGTACATCGACAGTTTCATGCGTGTCATGTTTTCTGACTGGCAAAAGTTCAGTCATTCAAGCACTGGTTAATAAGTTAGTTCAGTGATATAAATGCTGTCAAAAGTTCAGTAACTGTGGTTTCCTATCCTCATGTGCCGTTCAAGTTCATTGTTCATCCCCGTCCGTGGCGTGTCAGTAACTGCCGCACACTCTCCCTACATTGGTGCATAGAGTACATTCTAGTGTTGACATAAGTGAAATTACATTTCGCAGATGCTTGGTTTCAGGTCATTAATAGCTGATTGTATAAGAAAACTGCAGTCAGTGTATGTTCTAAGCAATGCATATACGTCCGCTTCTCTGCCAAAGCAAAGAAACAATAGCAGTAATAGAGAAGAAAGTTAAGGTTTTACAAGAAATGCAGGATGATCTAGATAATAATGATAATGTGTCAGCTATACGCGGTAATGGCGCTTCGCTGCCGCGCGACCACCACCAGTGGCGCGCGGGCTGCGTATACCGTGAGGACGCCCACCCCTACGCGGAGCAGGATGAGCTGCGTGAAAAGCATAAGTGAAAAGGGAAAATTTTTGCCAGAAAAGTAAACAGTGCATCCGCGGACTCACCATAACATCTATTTTAACACACACGTAAATCCATCTACCCCGATTTCACGGAACGTGATGAGCGCAGCGTTTGTATGCGGTTTGTCGTCATCCAACCAACGGGATTCATGTCACGTAATGTTGTGGTTTGATATATCGTCCAGTCGTTATTTTTTAATAAACATCGTACACCGGTTAATTATACAGTACCTCTTTCTAGTAGCAATGGCGTTCACTTAGTTCTCGCAGCCAGAGAGAACAAACGAACAGACTTGATGGAACAAATTAGGAGCCGATGGATGAGCGCTACTGACGAGATCCAGCAAAACGAAACGGCCGTCTAGTGCTTTTCTAGGTATATGGAAGACGCTGATTTGGAAGTTGCTGTGAGGAGCTCTCCACCAATTACATCTAAAGGGTCCACTCAAGAGTTTGTTAAGTTTGGCCAGCATCGTTCATATTGCCTAGAGACTCACCTACTTCTTCTAAGTGCAATGCAGTTGCAATTTTCTGACCTGACCAGCACGAATAGAGGATGCACTACACGTGAACCTAGTTACATCCTATGGTCAAATTTCGCTGACTACTTGCTACCCGATTACACTTCCTAAACTGTTCGCTCCATGCGGTAGTGTCCTACATCTAACACTTGCTCGGTGTGCACCGTAGTCTCAATTAAAGTTTAAAATTTCGGAGTTAACTAAATTCTTGTGGTTGGCTCGATAGACAACTGTCGACTCACGTAAAAATAACCGCATATCCTGAAATTCAGGCCATGGTGGATCCAGTAATTCCTTTCAAAATTATGAAGACTCCACTGGTCGTCGTTAGCAACCGAAAAATTTAAGAGGGACTGTTCACTACCCAGTTTTCCGAGACTTATGTTGGTTAAAATATTTCCTAGCCCCGCTAAGGATTCCAATATGCTTACAGTGATTGCTTCCTGTTAATGGGTGAAACATTGTGAGAATAACTGCGTTAACTAAGTCACGGCAATTTCAACTAAGCTATTCAACACTTGTCTCTGAAAAAAGCTGATTTTGATGTCAGCGATATCTACGCTTTTCGCAAGTTTTACCTAAACTAACCTCCTTGTTCAGTACAATGGAAGCAGTTGCGGTTTATAAGTTTTGCTTTGTGACACCGAATTTTAATTTTCAGGCACAAGAGGCGCACATTGAGGATGAGACAGATCAAACACCTACCGTGTTTTTCTCCCCATCAATGATGATTTTGTAATTCCGACACCTGACACAGTGTTCCGGACCAGGCCCTGAGCAGCCCTGTATACACTCTTCATGACACAGAAGGCAGTGCTTCTGATCAATAGCACCAGGAAGTAATAACAGAGACTCTGCATGGGTGTCCCTAATGGGGCCTGATTTCGTTTTCTCTTCGCTAGATCGGCGGTCACGCTGATTCAACTCTTCAATCGATGGTTGTCCCATGGCAGTTTCATTTGTAATGTCTTCCGTTTCATTGGCTTTGATAGTGTATGTTTCAGCTGCGGAAAACACCAAAGAAAGTGTTAATAGCAACACAAATGTAAAACCGAGGATGAGGAAAAGACCACATTCGAATTTCACAGTGTGTTCCGACAAGTTAAGAGTCAAAACGCTAGTGACTACGAAGCGGTAACGGACAAGCATGTACCGCCATTGCAAACTGGCTTTCAAACACTGGAATGCAATTCATTTGACCATCTCATATCATCAGATGTTCTTAATATTCTTAATATTAAAACACAGTGTATAGAAAACATTATAATACTCCGCAAGAAGTTGTTGTGCTCACACAGCTATCACGCTAACTCGTGGATTTAACAAGTTGACGAATTGTGGGGTTCGAAATGACGAAGGTGCATTATAAATGACTGGTGGATTAACAGATTGGGGTTGTATATTGAAATAAATTGCAAGACGAACCCTCAATATGAGCGAGCCCATTGGCATTACGGGAATGAGCTTCATCACAAGGTTCTGAGGAGTTAGTTGCAGCTTCTCTAGTCGTGTGCCTTGTTTGCGGACGACATGAAGATTTGGAGAGAAATTGACTCTCCCGATGTCTGTGGCCTACTTCAGCAAGACCTCAACCGCCTATCCACATGGTCTGCAGAAGTTCTTCTCCCGGTCAAACCAGCCAACTCTGTATTTATGAGCCTGGGGAAAGGTGCTAACGGTCGAAACTACACCCTTGACGGCCAAACGCTAAATCCCACACCCTCCGTGAAGGACCTAGGTGTACTCTCACGCTCCGATTTGAAGTCCGGGGACAACACGAACGGGCTATATCGGAACGGGCGCTCAAACGTAGCTTCGGTACATGGTCTGAAGAGGTTGCCACCCGCCTGTTCTCTTCTATCATTAGACCAATGCTAGAGTACGGTTCGCCCGCCTACTTTCCGATTACCCGAGGCGAGGAACGAAAGATCGAACTGGTCCAACACGTTGCTACCAGGCTGATCCCGAGTTTACGTGGCTTTGGGTATGAAGACCGGTGCGAGAAACTAGGACTCTACACCTTGTCCTACCGTCAGTTGCGAGTCGACCTCATTATGACCTACCGTATTCTACATCTCGGTGACTTCCCCATGTTAAGGCCAATGCTGCACTTACGAGGGTCATGCAGCACACGCGGACACCGATACAAACTTGCCGTGCCGGATGAGAAGCGAGTCCCCAACCTACGGTGCTTCGAACGGAGAGTGGTAAACATTTGGAACAGTTTACCTGAACATGTGATTGAGGCATCATCTGTGCAACAGTTCAAAACGTTGCTAGATTTGTATTTTGCCTCTATTCGATTCAGAGAACGACTGCACACTTACGATGACATATCACATTTGTGAATCCTGAAATATCGTAAGTCGAATATTTTAAATATTACATGAGAACGACAATGGTATTCACGGTTGACAACTTGTATAATGTTTTTCACAATATTTAGAAAGAGTTGTACAGAATCCATTTCTACTTGCTCTATAATACAGTATTCAGTATTCAGAAAAGCGAAGTTATAAGTGGTGTTCAATTTCAGTCTCTCAGGAATGGGATATGTAACCAACATTTCTGTCATCAGAAAGGTCCACAAGCGTCAAGCAATGAAACCGGAAAAATGCGTGCGGTTACGGAATAAATAAAATGTACTGTATTTCATTTTGAATCGGAAGAAGACGCACCGATAACGGACAAACAACGAAATTAGAAGACGAATATTGGCAAATGCTAGCAATTCGTACCCTCTGCTGAGTACCAATACAACAACTGGGAAATCTCTTTATAGGTCTCATAGGGCATAATCAAGCCAATTGTACAAATTCACACCTTTTGCGATTTGCCGAGACAGTCACGATAAGCCGTATTAGACCAGCATTTGTTGTCCAAAAGCAGTTAGTTGCCAACGTGCGGTTGTCGTGGTCCTAACGCCAACAACAATCATCATAACGATGAGGTTGATTGGCTTGACTGTGCGCTATGAGACATAAAAAGAGTTCCCATTTATGGCCCTGGTATTGCCGAGATAAAAACGAAATGCTAGCATGCGTCGATATTCGACTTCACATTTCGTTGTTCAAACGAATCAACAGTTTGCATGCAATGAACTGAGCTGTTCATGTCTCACATAAAAGTGTATTTCAAGGCTCAGTGGAGATGGTCCATTGAAGTCATTCCAGACTCATAAATTCGGGTTACCCTGATTCCCGCTGCATCAGTCTGTTTGCACAGGCTGCACATGTATGGGAATAAGTACCGAAATAATGCTCGTCAATTTCCTACAATTAATTGACTACTCTCTCCATGTTCCTCCCTGCGAGGTAACGATGAGTTTGGTATGCAGACAAGCGACGCAAAAGATAGAGGATGTGATCAATGTTGCATTTGTACGAAATGTGATCATGCAACTGAGGCTAGCGTAGGCAGAAATAAGTGTCCTTTCTAATCATTGCGAGCTGAACACCATACAACTGAGAGTTGGCATGCAGTTCGGATCCGCATTCTTACTGACGCACATGAAAACCAAAGACTCCAGATTCATTACTGAATAAGTTAAAACGACTACAAGAATGTGAATAGTCATCATTTTAGGACGGAAGCTGGAATACCATGTTTTTAAGCCACGTATTTACAACACTGCAGGAAAGTGCAAACCCAATCTTGAGAGTGCAAATTGTGCGAAGTGGTTTAAGTACAATGAACGATAGGATGAAGCTCTGCATAAGGTAGTGTGTTGCAACGCAGTCTGAATTTATCATTCCAAACTCAGAAGTTATCGCCAAGTACTTTTATTCAAAAATGGCTATTTTATACAATAAGTGCCCGCTGTGTACGTTCGCACCAATTTTCGCTAAATTACGGTCACTCCATAGAGATACCAAACATAACTCTATCCAATCCCTCAGAACAACATAAAGAACAAGAATCTAACGAGGGTCAACACAAAGCGGATACTCGGGACTCTGAGGAAATGTTATTTTGAGTATCTAAAGTGATTTTTGGAGAAGCATCAACCCGGATATTCTACCTACAGTGATGATATAAGGACATTCCGATCCTGCGGGTGATCGGACGGACGTGAGACATCACAACAAACTCTTGGTAAGGAATTTGATTGATTTATCCAGAATATGTGGGAGTTTAACATACAGAGCTTTAGAATCGCTTGTATAAAGTACCAAAGCTCTACATTTATCAACCCAGATAACGAAGGTAGGTGGTGATTCATACAATGAAACAAAATTTGCAAATTTATCTCCAGTAGACATACACTCTCAACCTTGTTAGCCATATTTCATTCGTCCACTGCTAAGCCTTCACATATCAGCGCCTGCTTTGTGATGGAAAGATTTAAAATTATAAGCTACAAGACGTCGTTTCCTGAGGTAATTAATAACCTTGCATAAAATAGCAGGAAAGCTCCTCACACGGAATGTGGTTCGAGCAAAACGAAAGTTTACACAATTCAGGAAAAAGTAGCACCTTCTAGAGGCGTCCTCAAATGCACAAGTTGTGCGCGTTAGGAAGCAAGTTTACTTGTGTTTTCTTAGTATATACTTAATGTGCCTTTCACAATGCAAGTTAGGCACAGGATGCTTACTTAGGTGGCTCAGACAGATTACCTTAGTTGAACCTCACAAAGTCGTGTGATGGTTTTCACGTCTGGGCTGCATTTGTTTGAACCCCACTGATAGAACTTGATCCGATGGGTTCACTGGTGAATAATCTATGCTACGCTGTCGAAATACGGTCCACAATAAAGTAGTTTTAGAGATTTGTGGTGAAGTGCCTCACAACCATATCGCAACAAAGATAAAATTGATGACCACTGGAAGTAATCTGAAAGTCCAGATTATGGGGAAACCACTGTTTGTATCTGAAGTTCGCTCACCCGGAGGACATTCCTTGACGCACTCCACCCGAAACCACCAGTGTAGGCAACTGTGACAGATAGACATGTGGGTTCCGTTTGCAGTGCACACGTCGCAGAACGGGTGACATGGCTTGCACACGCGGATCATCCCTCCAGCTTCTGTGGTAGCTAGAGCCACCTGTTTGGCCTCTTGAGAAATGCTGATACGATTCGCTTCCACAAAATCTAATGTTTTGTGTGACTCCGTGTAGTGGCTTGCTGGACAATCATTGATCAAACAGTGGAACCTATTGGTTTCCTTGCCTATAACGATGCAAAGAAATGAGTAACTCATATTTATTGTTTACACATTACTTGTAAACACATATATCCAGTGACTAGGTGGAATGTATCGGATGACGTCTAAATCAAGTCTCCGAATGAACACCGTCATTTATGAGTGTATCCATTTTAATCTCTAGTGAATCAAGCGAAATGCATCTGAACAACTCTCCACAGACATCCACTTCGAAATTCGACTGAGAAGATTACATTTCGACGAAGGACCCGAATCATGTTTGTGTGCAATTTCGCTGTTATCGTAGACAAATATGCTATATCGAAAACCAAAATAATTGGAGGAATCTAGCCAAAGTCATGTGACATCATTCAAACGCACTTTGTGTGGCAATGCGATAGATGTGACTAGGATATGGCTTGCAATCGATTCCCTTGGAGCATCATGAGAATTAGTACAATGGCGAAGCGGCAACATAAAAATAAAGGAAAACGAAATCAAGTTTAATGCTAGTATTGAATTGCAATTGATTTATCGTCTTAATATACAGGCATTGCGGTGACTGCGGCAAACTGTACCGTTGAGATTTAGTATGTCAGTTGTCATAAGACCTCGGACGCATATACCATGCTGTGCGCAAGTAACAGTTAACGATTCTAGCACAGAGCGCAGTACGAGAAATGGTGTTTCAGTTTCCTTCAGCGCAGGCCGATCACAGCCTGACGAAGAGTTCAACGTGATTTCTCACACGTGTTCAAACTCAAAGTTAATCAATGCTTTCGTTCATTTAAGTAAAGCTTGAATACTTGTCAAAATTGACTTACGTTCCATTTGCTGCTCAGGGTAAAATGACGGATAAGCCCGTCAACAGCGCAATACCTTGTATGGTTCACTTAGCTCAGTGGGGGGTCACGTCCTTGGGTAGCGACGTTTATGGTATAGGAAACATTGGAAATTCTGAGTTTCACTAAGTAATCCACAGAGGATTTGGTAGATAGTTTGCTTAAGACTTAGAATTTAATTCATAAATTATGCCCATCGGATGTCAAAAGGAAAACTGCGAAGAGATTTCTTTTTGATAAATCTCATCAAGCGATTCCAAGTATGAGATTCATAATCATTGGTATAGAAGCTATTACGATGTTTGCAGCGATCTGTCATGTATGCTGCGTCTGGAGGAACGGTAAGCATATAGTCTCATACAGCTGAGGATTCCGGTCGGGACTAAACGCAAGCTGCTGAATCAAGAGTAAGGAGACGCAGAGAATTGAAAATGCTGTCATTACTTTAGGAGACAACCATGGTTGGTATCGTCTTTAAGCAGCAGCTTACTGTGCTATCCGATTGAAATTGTTGTACATATTTACTGTGACGTAGAACATTGAGGTGTAACTCTAGACAGACTGGACGAGGTTTAAAATGTGGCCTTTGTACACTAGGTCCAATGCAAAACCGCAGGAGTACAAATAGTGTTATCAATCAAGCTAAAACGATGCTTACTTTGCAAAACGGTCCAGCATGCGGTGCACCCACCCAAGCCGAGATAGTCCCCTGGGCCACTGCATAATCGTGTTTCCGGGGCGACGAATGCTTGCGTGCATGTCGCATTGCACGGTAGACAACGGTTGGTGCCCTGTTCGGCGTACTTTTCTCTAGGGCACTCCCGGACACAGTAGTCCCCGTCCTGATTACAATGGATAAGGTATATGCATGAATTGATTGAATTTTAGAAAACGCCATTGTTGCTCGTAAATCGGATACACAATATAAAAGGAAAGAATGAAATGATGTTACTAAGTTTCCAGCCATTTTCGGAAGTAGCAAAGTAGATTTGGAGTGCCACAGGTTACTGTAGGCCTCCGTGTACCCGACTCTTCCGATCCAGTAATGATCTGATGAGGCAAAGTGTTCCATGAGAACGTAATTGGAGCGAGACATTCCTCTCTGTGAATTTGATAAAACAGTATGCTTACGAAGAAAACAGTTGATTGTATGCACGTTCTTTAGCATCATCTACGAAAAGACGAAAGAAACGACCACAGATCTTTTGGAAACGAGAATTGACACTAACGCTACTGTTTGCGATGCTGTTTTAAGAGAGCTGTTCATGTAATCACATTTGAAGTTGTGACGCGACATGGAATGCGAACCACTTGCATTCTTATCGACAGTTCTCAGTGCATTACCGCGTACGTAAGACAGCGTTGCTGTCGATGCTGATGTCGGGTTAGTAGTTCAAACATTTTCAATTATTCGTAATTATTCACATTAAATCTCGGAAGCGAACTTCTCCAAGTACCATTTTATTTCAAGTTAACGAGTTATCCACTTTAATGATCATTAATGAGATATTATCCTGGTTGCTGTTAGAGATGCTCTGTATTTATGGCTTATTGCACTTTAACTAGCGATCCAGTATATAGGATAGGCATGTTGATACTGTGGAAGGTGATGGTGACCTATTTGAAATGAAGATCTTACAGTGTAGAAAAGAGTGGGTCATTGGCATCTAGATCCGTTTGTAAAAGGCTTTAAAATCACCTACTAACAGTATGACTAATGGATCAAATCATATGAGTTTCCAGGGTTTAACACGCTAACTGAGTTTCTTTGAGGCATACCCAAATTCATAAATGATAACCCGTCCTTAATGTTCCGATCTTTATTGTGCAAATGTTATCAACCGGATTGGCATCCGGTGGATCTTACTCCACCTAGAACAACACACTCTCTCCGGATGTCCCCAGCCCACATTCTGGCACAGGGGTTTCACGGTGAACATGATCTACGAGGATGTCACATACATGGTGTCCACTAGAATGACATGGCGTTGCACAAACTATAGCTGTACACATGAATTTGCCGACACGAGACACAGCTACGCTATTGTTTAAGTGTCATATGTATGAAAGAGTTAGCGAAAGAAGAAAACGGCATAAATGTCTCGATTGCAGGAATTTATCATACCAGTGCACGAATAGACTGAAAACGTCTGATCAGGGGTGCGTGCACTCTCTGCACTTTGAACAAATGACATTTGGATAAACAATTCGAATTACTTGAAAATGCTTGCATGCACCCTTGCACTCATTTGCTCCTGGACCGTAACAAGTTTCTGCACATTCTTCATGACATACGCCGCATCTCTTCGGTGGCAACTTTGTTTCACGAACTACAGCATCGTTGAGGATATCAATCTGTGATTGGTTCAGTGGAAGAGTTCGACAAAATGGCTGTGGCGTGGACCCGGAAGGCGTCGATAGCCTGAGCTTGCCAGCCGCAAGGTCGGGAACTTCATAAAAGCCCGGTATATCTGTACACTCAGAGACGCAATGATCTCCAGCTAGGAGATTGCAACAATGGCGGCACATATCGGAGCCCGGACCCCAGCAGCCCAACTGAGGTAGACATTCGCTGTGGCACACAGCATGTCGTTGTACTATTGGGGAATAGAAGAGACAAGAAGGTTAGACGCCAATGAATTTTATTCATCGCCTCTGTTAATGAATGCGGTTAACGTGGTCGAAAATAGGAGACTGTTCTCAGAAGTGGCTTCCGCCAGCCCTAAAAATGGGTGCATTGTAAACTACCGAAAAGCATCAGTAAATTATGTCCCGAGTTTTATCGCCCGGCTAGTTGGGAAGCATCAAAGTGAATTCGGAACCATAATACAAATTCAGAGATCCCTGCAAAAGAAAAAGTAATGATATTGTAAAGAGAAGCTGAAGCGACTAAAACTCCACTCACAATTCAAAATTGCTGTGAAGGTGTCAAGTATGGCTATCAGAAAATCTCTTCGCTCCCATTTAATGACGTTTATTCTCTGTACTTATCAGATCTATTATTGCATCCAAAGGGTTTGAAAACAAACGCCTCAGTAATAAGCGTTTGAGGTATCTACCACAACCTCCCAACAATCGCAATATTATCCAAAGCAATTTCACGAAATAACTATGGTCAGCAGCTTCATGAAGAGAATGGACGTCTTCAGAACGGTCGATTTATTTATTTTGTTAGTTAGTTATTTGGCAACATTTCACTTTTGACGCAAAAGATTTGTCAGGCTAGGTTGGAAGTTTCGAAGGGGTGTGTCAACCCGATCAGTCTGAGCAACCTCGATGGACAGATCCGGGTCAGAGAGCGGACAATAAATCGACCTCACATCCATCACTGATAGGGGCTTGCGCGTGATGACATCGTAACGTGGACATTTTGGAACGGTCCCATGCATCACCTAAAGTGAAACTTTGACCTGAACGCCAGTACCATGCTACTTGCATCCCAGTGGTTGTGACTATCTTCCAAATTTGCTATAAGTGATACACCAATCATCAACTAGTTTATTGCCAAGTCAAGCGAAGTTCGCGAAGCTCACTGGCCTAGTGATCATGGCGATGATCGCCAAGCACCATGCGCTGAGTTCTACCACCACTTCAGCCTATCCCTGAGTACAAACAAAGACGAAAAGTGTCGCAGAATGAAGTGAAGATAGAAAGCAACACCGAAAACATCCACTGCTTCACTTGGCCTGACGAAGTTTTATGTCAAGAATGAAACGTTGCCAGCATACTAGACAAACGGATTATTTCCAAATGATTCTGAAACCTTGAATTCTCGTTCGATTTCAGGTACATTTCCTGAGATTCTTATTTAAGAATATTATCGTAGCGTAATTTCTATGGATTCAACGCTGATAGAAAGGGATAAAGCACATTTGTGGCGTAAATTTCCGTATTTGGTTAGCCATGCTATTGAAACCAGTTGGGAATATAAGTATTATGCAATCCCATGAAGCGTCCCTTACGCGACGCAGTAAATTGTCTAGCGTTAAAGTTGGTAAATTCAGACTGCAGCTAGCCGAACAAATAAGAGATAAACAGGTTCCATTAAGCGCTGAATTCACTGGGATGGCGTCCTAGCTCTAGACATTAGATTCTGTCAAATATCACGCAATTTAGTAAGTTTCATCTCATGACTTTAGAGACTGGTTCAGTAGAACGGAAAATGCGATTATGGCGCCACGCTGTTGATCGCTTCTTGCCCATTTGACAAACCAAGTGTACGCTTCTTTGGCATGGACGGATAATAAAAATGGCATCTAAGCATTCCAAAGTGGCTAAGTCTTTGGTCCTTTATCTGGTTCTGGAAGAAGTAATGAAGGTCGAGTAAATACAGCGGAGTTACAACCGAGCGGTGATTATTACTCCTAGTTCCGTATAGAAAGTATGTGAAAGACATTAACCGCATGGAAACATTCAACGAAAATCAGCGTAATCTGCTGTATGAGGAGGTACAAGTATGCCAACCATAAAAACACAATAGCTACTACATTTACACCGGCGGAAATACAGCTGGTCTTCTGTTTTTTCTAGGGAGTGTCTAGTGTATGCAGTAGGCGTTATCCACAAGGTCCGTCGACACAGAAAGTGCGTCATAAATAGAGTTTAAGCGTAGACCATCATCTCCTTCCTTCTGGAAGGTTCATTTGGCTGAAGCGGATAGTTTTAACTTTAATTTCCTACTTTTTCGAACTTGTCGGTGACTTGAACATTCATTTTGCAAATGGTACGCCCACATATCTCTTCAGTTGAGCGTACACTGTGCAGAAGAAAGTTGAGATTGGTACTAGAAGGTCATCCTACATCAGGACTCCGACGTATCTAAAGGGGATAGAGACATACACCAAAGTCGAGTCCAACCCGCTATAAGGTTGCTTGGCCTTTCATTAAACCCGACCCGAACTCTTTTTACCCTATGGGTCATGTAAAGCTCCAGCTTTTATTCCCATTAAATACAATGTTCCAATGTTACATTGTAATCAGGTACGTAGTGCCATATCTCTTCGTTTTAGCTTAGCGACCTAATCTGTGAAGGGTGTAACTGCTGTTTCATTCAGCAGCACCATACAGGACCAGGTATGTCGTGACTACGTTTCTGTTTTTCTGGTCCCGGCAAGATATGTGGACACTGAAAGTGATAGCTTGGCAGAATATTTATGCTATGAAAATAGTTAACGGTGCTTTTCATCGCCAAACATCCAATACGAAAATATTTAGCAAGTTATGAACTGAGATTATGATTTTTACAAGTTGTGGATCACTAGTCCAAGAAAATTTTATTTTATAGCCAATAAAAAGATGTTGGTTTCTGCCTTTCATGAGCGGTATTCAAATTTGGATTCACTGATCAAAATAACAAAAGCTGACTGTCATGTTTGCCATAACACCAACGGGCACAAACGTCGTCAGCATCTGACGAGGACAGCTGACGCTGCGTAAATCAGCTGCCGTTACAAACGAAAGAGCTGAAAGGTTACCTTATGACACATTCCTTCTGTGCTACACGCACGCACGCATGCACCTTGACTTTGGCTTCTTACTGCAGGGCAGTCAACCGAAGGGTAAGAAGCAAAAGACATTGGTCTATAGTTGAGAGGTCGATGAACAAGCTTCGTAGGAGAACCAGTTACATAGTTTGAAAGAATATGACGGCAAAGAATTGGAGATATACCTTAGGGGCGGCACATCAAACATACACTTTTAGCCTAGTAGTTATGCAACTCGCAAAAGGCATGCAATCACAAGGAGGTCAATGGCAGCTGGGAGATTGCACTTCTTCTTAGCTTTGAAGTGCAACACTACATAGGTTCCCATCTACTCATAAAAACAGCGAATAAGATCAAAAAATGGACTGAAAGTCATTCATCTTAAAATCGGCCGTGAATTCGCTTAATCTCCCTTTGGTATTAGCATCGATGTACCACTTTTTCATGGGTGTGGCGATCATTATTCGTTTTCAACGACGGTGCTTCTGTGTTCACCATACACAATGAATCGTTTTACGAAACGATGACGCGCACAGAAGGATTGTAAGTAACTCCTTCAAAGATTCTAAATAGTCGATCAGTAGACGTTATACGTTTTAAAGTTGTAACATAAATGCCTCTATGTGGCTAAAAGTCTGCTCAGAACAAAGCAGAAACGCTTCTCCCATTGACAAAGCTGCATCGAGCAAGGGCTTACAAAACAGTGGTTCCACTCACATACCCCTTCTATTACCCTGGGGCCTTCCAGATGTGTCGGATACAATGAGAAGGAATACACGATAATACGAAGTGCTCACTGGGCTACCACTAACCATGAAACCTGCATGAGTCCACTACTAGTAAGGCTAAGTCGAGAAACAGAACTACGTTTCTGTTCGTAAAGTGTCGAAGTAAACAGCGCTCGTCTTTTCTGCTAGACATAATGTCCCCAATCGGAAATGTCTAACTGTCTGTTATTTGCCGAATGGTACTCTTTGGTTTGCTTCACCTTTAGATAAATTCATCTCTTCGGGGAATCTGGTCTTAGTAGCATGCATGCTGCAGCTGCAGGGGCTTAATTGTTAAGCGCTACCGTCTGGCTAAGACGTTCATTGCTATAATGCATGCGAAGCCAGTCATGTAGTCCAAAACCAATCGTGGTAGGCCCCTCTCTTGGGACGTTGTTTTCCTGAAGAGCCAGTCAAACTACTCGAGCTGATCCCCAGTGGTGGTGGAAGATAGATGCAGTAGAATAAATAAATAAATGGTTTATTCTCGACAATGCCAGACAAGCCTGCATAAGCATGAATATGGTAATAGAAAAAAGATGGATAGTTGTACATCTATGTTATAAGTTAACCAGTTGCAAACTGAATTTATGTGAGTATGTGCACATGTAGATATGTGTGTAGCCATGTTGAATGAAGTTGTTACTGTAACGCTGCATGTGTGACTGTGTCGGATCTGGTTGTCAGTGCAAGAATAGAACACAGAAACCCATCGAATTAGATGGTTGATGTCTGTGGACGGAGTAGGATCATCTTGATGGGCCACGGGCGTTGACTTTATTTCGTGGCAAGTCAGATGCGCCGCGTCGCAGTGTTGTTAAACGGACAAATATGGCTTTTTGTAGGAAGAACGCTTGCCAGCCGGAGACCTACCACTTCCTGAAACAATGCCGCCGAAGCATTCGCTGAGATGAAATTGACCCGAACCACCCAGCTGGCGGCACGAGGAAGTTGTTCGGCAAGCAAGCTTAAGTCTACTATTTGCACGAGCTAGGTTAAAAGGTACATGTCTGCCACTGCCACGTGATAAATGGCTATAATTGTGGCTCATGATCCAGTTGCAGCATAGAAACACTACGGATTTAGACCGAAGTTTTATTGGAATCCGATACTCTACAGACTCTACAGGCACTATGAAATTGTGGCCGAAAACAGATATCAAAGCACTATTTACGAAACTCGAGAAACGGTCCAGTAAAATAAAACATAGGGTAGATTACTGGAGCGATACGATAGCAGTGCTATGATTGCTGGCTTCTTCCTTAAATCATTGTAATGGTTCTTCTTCCTTTCTCAAAATTATTTGCTGTCATTTAGCTAACAAATTGGTGGCACCTTATGGCGGAA